GAGAGTGCTGCTATGAACATTGGGGTACATGTGCTCCTATGCCTCAGCATTTCTGTATCCCTTGGGTAAATTCCTAGCAGTGCTATTGCTGGGTCATAAGGGAGTTCTATTGTTAGTTTCCTGAGGAACCTCCACACTGTTTTCCAGAGGGGCTGCACCAGTTTGCATTCCCACCAATAGTGTAGGAGGGTGCCCGTTTCTCTACATCCTCACCAGCATCTAGAGTCCTCTGATTCAGATTTTCTTAGTGTTTACTTTTCTTGATTCCAAGAACTCATCTAGTATCTAGTATCACATTTAGTTGTTACTTCTCCTTTGGTTCTTGCTGGCTGCAACTGTATTAGAATTTCCTCGTTTTTTAAGGTTTTTTTTTTTTAATGTTTATTTGTTTTTTGAGAGAGTGAGAGAGACAGAGCATGAGTAGGGGACGGGCAGAGAGAGAGGGAGACTCAGAATCTGAAGCAGGCTCTAACCCATGAACTAACCCATGAACTATGAGATCGTGGCGTAAGCCAAAGCCAGGCGCTTAACTGACTGAGCCACCCAGGTGCCCCAGAATTTCCTTGTTTTTAATGACCTGCCTAGTTTTGAGGAGTACTGGTCAGGTATGTTGTAGAATACCCCTCTTTTGGAATTTGATATTTTTCTCATGGTTATACTGGGGTTACGGGTTTGGGAGAAGAAGGCCACAGAGGTAAAGTTCCATGTTTGTCATTTCATGGCCAAGCATCCCTAATGTCAACATGACCTGTCACTGTTGATAGTGACCTCGATCACCTGACTGAACGTTTGTCAGTCAGGTCTGTCCACTGTACGGTTACTCCATACCATTCCACCCCCACCCCATTCCATGGCGCACTCTTAGAAGGAAGTCATTACACCCAGCCCAGGCTTCAGGGACTGGGGAGTTCGATCTTGCCTTCTTTAGGGTAGTGTATTTACATTATTTATTTAGAATTCTTCAGCACAGATGATGCAGCTCATCCAAATTTCTTTTTTTATTTATAATAATATGGACTCACGGGTTTTATTTTGTACTCTGGGTTATAATCCAATACTACTTAGTTTTGTTGCTCAAAATGTTCCATCTTTGGCTACTGGGAATGGGATTTATGTTTTCAAACTAGCTCCTGAGGCGTTTCTCGTGTGTATTAGAGTTTGAGACCCCATGTAGTTCTGGGTTGACACCCCAGCTCCAGCACTTACTGGCCATGTGTGTGTTTTTGGCAAGTTGCTTAACCACTTGGGCCTCAGTTTTCTCAGCTGAAAATGGAGCTAATGTTGCTCCGTACCATTTAGGGTTATTGAGTAAGATGCACCATAGTAAGTCCTCTGTACGTAGAAGCTGTCATTACTGTGAGTTTGGCATTGAAATTCCTTCTGGGTCTGTTCTTACAGATCAAGGCCAAATATGCCTTTATAACACTTACCTTCCGAGACGACGGGCTTGTGCAGCACATGTTCCTCTCACCTTCTCCATGGCCACCTCCTCTCCCTGCTGAACCAGCATTCTGTCCCCACTTGTGTTTCTGAGTCACAGAGCCAGCCAGCCAGACAAGCCACCTGGGGTTCCTTATTCCTTCAAAGCCCCCTGAAGCACCACTTCCTGTGTGGTTTCACCTGACAGCCGAGCAGAAGTCCCCTCTGTGCTCGCTCTTGCCTGACAGCCCTCAGCACTCGAGACTCTGCATCAGAGCAACATCTCCGTTCAGCTTTCTGTCCGCCTGCACACGAGGGGCTCGCCACACCAGCCTGTGGTCTTGTTTGCACCCCTGTAAGTTTTGACAAGGGGAAGGGACTTGTCCTGGGTGCTGACTGGGCTCAACTGGACAGACAGCCTGCGGGGGCAGAACTTCTCAAGAGTCAAGAGGCCGACCCTATGTTAATTACACACACACACACACACACACACACACACACACACACACTCTAACTATGGGAAAATATATATGACATAAAGTTTACCATTTTAACCATATAAAAACATACAGTTCAGTGGCACGAAGTACCTTTACGTGGTTGTGTAAGCAACTGTCACCACCATCCATCTCTTGAAGTTTTTCATCTTCCTCAACTCAGTAAACAATGAGTTCAATTGTTTGATTAATTTTAATTTCCTCCCCATTCCCTCCTTCCTCCAGCCTCTGACAACCACCACTATGCTTTCTGTCTGTATGATTTTCACTCCTCCAGGTACCCTGTAGCCATGGTATTGTGCAATATTTGTTCTTTTGTGACTGGCTTATTTCACTTGGTATAATGCCTCGAAGGTTCATCCATGTTATGTCACGTGTGAGAATATCCTTCCTTTTTTTTTTTTTTTAATGTTTTATTTATTTCTGAGAGAGTGAGAGTGACAGCGTGAGCAGGGGAGGGTCAGAGAGGGAGGGAGATACAGAATCCGAAACAGGCTCCAGGCTCTGAGCTGTCAGCACAGAGCCCGACACGGGATTCAAACCCATGAACCGTGAGATCATGACCTGAGCCTATTTCGGATGTTTAACCTACTGAGCCACCCAGGCTCCCCACATCCTTCCTTTCTTATGATGCAATCGTATCCTATTGTATGCCTGTACGGCATTTGGTTTATCCACTCCTCTGTCCACGGATGCTTGGGGACTTTCATGTTTTGGCTGTTGTGAATAATATTGTCACAAGCACAAGTGTACAGATGTCCCTGCCTTCAATTCTTTTGGGTATATATCCAGAGTGTGATCGCTGGATCATAAGGTAATTCTACTCTTTTATTTTTTGAGAAATCTCCATACCGTTTCCTCAGTATCTATACCATTTTTCATTCCCACCAAAAATGTGCAGAGGTTTCTTCTCCACATCCTTGTCAACGTTTGTTATTTTCTTGTTTTTCGATAATGGCCATTCTAATAGGATCTCATTGTGGTTTTGATTTGCGTTTTCCTGATGACTAGTGATGTTGAGCATCTTTTCATGTGCTTATTGACTATCTGTATATCTTCTTTGGAGAAACATCTGTTAGGTCCTTTGCGCATTTTTGAGTCAGGTTGAGTTTTGGTTTTTTGTTTTTGTTTTTGTTTTTTACTGTTAAGCTGTAGGAGTTCTTTATATTTTCTGGATATTCATCCCTTATTAGAAATATGATTTGCAAATATTTTCTCCCATCCTGTCTTTTCACTTTGTTGATAGCGCCCTTTGATACACGAAAGTTTTTAATTTTAATGAAGTTCAGTTTATCTAGTGTTTCTTTTGCTGTTTATGCTTTTGGTGTTATCTCCAAGAAATCATTGTCAAATTCAATGTCATGAGGCTTTTACTGTATGTTTTCTCATAAGAGTTTATAGTTTTAGATTTTCTGATTAGGTCTTTGATCTACTTTATTTTTTTTTTTAATATTTTTATTTATTTCTAGGAGAGACAGAGAGACAGCGTGAGAAGGGGAAGGTCAGAGAGAGAGGGAGTCACAGACTGAAAATAGGCTCCAGGCTCTGAGCTGGCAGTCAGCACAGAGCCCGACGCGGGGCTCGAACCCACAAACCGCGAGATCATGACCTAAGCGAAAGTCAGACGCTTAACCGACTAAGCCACCCAGGCGCCCCTTGATCTACTTTAATACATTTTTGTATGTGGTACAAAGTGTCCAGCTTCATTTATTTTGCATGTGGATATTCAGTTCTCCCAACACTGTTTGTTTAATAGTCTGTCCTTTCCCCATTAAGTGTTTTTGGCCTCCTGTTGAAAATCATTTGACCATATATACATGACGGTTTATTTCTACGCTCTCTACTCTATTCTGTTGGTCTATATGTCTGTTTGTATACCAGTAGCTGCTGTTTTGATTGCTATACCTTTGTAAGTTTTGAAATCAGAAGGTGTGAGCCCTACTTTGCTCATCTTTTTCGAGATCATTTTGGCTCTTTGGGGTTTCCTGAGATTCTATATGAATTTTAGTATAGATTTTTCTATTTCTGAAAAAAAGGTCATTGGGATTTTGATAAAGATTGCATGGAATCTATAGATTGCTTTGAGTAGTATTGCCAACTTAATGTTAAGCTTCCCTATCAGCAAACATGGGATGTCTTTCCATTTATTTGCATCTTCTTTAATTTCTCTCAGCAACGTTTTACAGTTTTCAGTGTATAAGTCTTCACCTTCTTGGTTAGCTTTATTTACAAGGATTCATCTTTGATGCTTACTTCCACTTTTGGAGGGTCTTGATATTGAAAATTGAAGAAATACAACTTAAACTCTATGATCCTGTCAGTGTTTCTCAGGGACAACATATATAGACAGTGATTGAATTATATAGTGTCAGAAGCCTAACTCTGAGTTCCTTTGTGGATGTGAGGTTCCCCTGTCCACTCACCCCCACCACGATGGGAGGAAAGGGGCTGGGCAAGGTTGCTCTTACTGGGGTAGGAGTGGGAATAGAATAATATTCCTCCAGGTGGGCCCTGCTGAGGGATCCAGCAAAGACCTGAAGTCCCCATAACCCTAGTCAAAGCATCTCCTCAGCAAGTGGTGCT